ATCCCAAATAAATCCCATGGGGCCTTATGGGCTCCGTGAGGTTTCCACTGCCATCAAGTAGCTACAAACAAATTAATGCAGTTTGAAGAATTTCCGCTAGCACAGTGGTTCAATATGTTGTAATGTTGGAGAAGCTGGTCGTCACAGTGAGGAGGGCAGCTATAGATTGGAGCATGCTGCTCCGCTGGCGGCACAGATGGTGAAGATACAGGCATACAAGAACATTTTATTTGTTGGTAAACACTGTTTATTAGTTTTCTTTTATCAATACAAATGACAAAGACAAACAATGTGCCCCCCTTTCCCAGGCCTTTCCCAGTAGCACAAAGACAGGACATAAAACTGACAATAATGTCAAACAACAACTCTGCAGTGCCAAAATAAATATACAAATAAAAACAAAGAAAAAGAAGAAAAATATAAAAATAAAAACAATATGTGTACATTCTATGATGTGTCAGTTTCAACAATGAAGGTTCCTTATGTTAGGATACCTGTAATGATTGCACTTCCGAGAAATGAAATAAAGGATTTCCAGGTTTCCTCAAACACATTTACTCTATTTCTCAATGTGTAATATATTCCCTAATACCATACATGATGCCATTTTATTAACCCATTCTTTGACACCTGGCCTATTTGTTTTCCTCCAATAAAGAGCAGAAGGCTGTTTGGCTTGCAGGATACAGATACAAGGTCATTTACTGGTGATTTTACACTGCAGGGCTGTATCATGAAATTCAGGTTGTAGTTCCCATGATGCTGCTGGTAAAAACAAAACATATATGAACAAAAATCAGATACAGTGAATTTGTCATAAAGAATAATCCAAGGTTACAACAGTTAACACACAGTAGCTGAGTGCACATGTGAAGAATGGGGAAAAGGTAACTGAACCTCTGCCTAGTATTTGCACACTTGCACACTTCGCTCACAGCTGCAGACACAAACTTTGATGGTTTTGTGTTTTTTGCATTGTGAAAGTCACACTCTGGAGAAAATTGCTTGCAGTGGAAGGCCGGTCTTCCTGTGGTTGAGACGTCACTGTATGCTGAGAACAGACATTACTGTGTGTGATTGTGGAAAGAACCACAGCGGAGCGTTGGAGACATAATACAAACACACAGAGGACATTTTTCAGCCGGACATTTAGGACTAGGCTGCTAGGCCTACTGCAAGGCCTCATGATCTTCCCCACGTCACGCTATCTCTTCCTGTCACACAAGTGGTGTGAACCTCACTCCTCCACATGACTCCCCACTTCTCTCTCTGTTTCAGGCCTCCTGCTTATTGTTGTTGATGACTAACTCAGGCCTGCATCCTTCGGGTCATGACAAGAGTCAGACAACTGTCACACGTAGGGGTTCAGGAAACCAGCTGAAGAAGAGACAATCAGTCTGATCAGCTAACATTGCTGTTTCTGCATGTTCACTCACACGGAGGATGTATAGGCGTTATCGTGTGTACAGGCATTATCGTGTTGACGTTAACAATACAAGGACGTGCAAAAGCAACACAACCAAATGTAAGACAGACACAGCCGCTGTGAGGAACCTGTCAGTTTTATTTTTAGTTTTTGGTGGCTGTTTCTTACATTGTGAAAGTTACACTTTGGAGAAAATAGCACGTACTGCATCTGCAGGCCAGTCTTCATGTGGTTGAGACTTTAATTTAGTCTGCCACAGAAAGTGTGGTCTTCTAACACAGGTTAGAACGGAAGTGAAGCTCACTGGCTCACCTCACTGACATTTTTTTTTTTAAGGTTTTTTGCAAGATTAGACAGAACAGGTGAAACAAGACAAGACAGACCTTATACAGTGTGTGACAAAAGACAAAGGGAACAACCCGTTCCCCACTGAACAGCTCCCAGACCAAATGGAAGAGAGCCTGTTTGTGTGAGGAAAGAGTTTTCTTTTTCCTATATCAGCCTCTGAAACACAAACATTAAAAGAAAAGAAATCTTAATCATGTCTAAGAATTGACTTTACCTCACAAACAAACATCTAGTCAGCTAATTGACGATTGCATTCTGGTATGGAACAGTATTATGTAATAATTCGACAAAATGTAATAGATTTTCACTTCATTATGTAATAACACCGGCATTTTGTGATAAACTGCCTGATGTATATATGTATGTATGTATCAATATGTAAAAATAGATTATATATTGTGGTGGCTATGATGAAACGTTGGAGTTGTTTTTATATGAACTGCATTTTGAATAAGCTTTTTAATGGTCTTTGTGGGGATCCTTGTCAAAAGACCACTGCAGTTGTCCCTGAGTTTGGCTGTATTTGTAGATGATAACAAGCTGATCTTGTTACTGCTTTTCTGTGGCTATTTAGTCTAAGATCAGAGTCAACTATAACAGCAATGGGGGGTCATAGGAGTCTAATTTATTTGGGTTTTTTAAAGTTCAATCTAGGTTGACTTATTAAATTATTATTATGAAATTATAAAATGTATGTAGACATTTATTTAGGCTGGTTATTACACAATGCGCCATATTATTACTTTTTCATCAAGTGCAACTCCTGCCTTTTGTAATGACCACCACAACATGGAATAATTTATTACAAAACACAGAGAGAATCTGTTTATGACCAAATGCAGCAGATTGTTACAAAGTTAGACAGTGAAGTAGCACTTAAAGAGTGTTTGATGCTTATCTTATTGTTAGTATGATAAACACAATCTATGTTAAGTTATTCTTTAGCTCCAGTTATTCTGAGTTCTTCAGTGAATGCGAAGCACTTTGCAGTCTTGCAGTTTCAATGTGGATCAGATCAGAATTTTACTCTATACACTGAATCAGGACTGTCAGCACAACTGAAGAAGGGAACTAAATATTATGGCTTCATTTAGATTAAACTTAACAAATGCTGATGATAATGTAACATCCCATTTGTTTTTTCAACCTATTTCAACATGTATGGAATCCCCTGTCACACTTTCTTCTGTCATTTAATAATGTGTATTTTGACAGAAAATCTGTATAATTTAGACACCAAATGTTCACATATAATGGTTTTGGCCCTAAGAGGAGATAGACGGGAGCTGTAGCCGCTGTGGTTCGGCCTTTAGAGTGGATGGATTTACATGAGGCTGTGCAGATACCTCCCCAGTACCATAGTGTCTGTCTGTCTTTCCAATGCTACATACAGTATGTAGAGGCTGATCTATGCCTGTGTGACAGATGCCAGTAAACAACTGCTCTCTGCTTCTTTTTTTAATTACTCTTGCAGAGCTTTGATCAAACAGCCCTCATGACTTTCCCCTCAGGTGTTCAAACCGCACTGTGCCAACTCTTCCTGTCAAACAAGTAATGTGCTGCTGATGTTTAGCTAGTTAGTAGGTCCTGAGTATTTCATTCAGCTGTATTATTTATGGTTGACTGTTAGATGTTGCAGACCTCCATTTAACTCGCTATAAGAGAATGTAAACAGTTGTCGGTTTTTAGTACATCCTCTTTTTGTCAATTGAAATCATATTCCTCTGGTGTCAGTATGAAATAGGATCAAAAATCAGCATGAACAAGAATTCTGTACATTTTGCATGGGTCTCTGTTATAAAATCAGACTTTTTGACAATGTTGGTGCACCCACCAATCACACTGCTGCTGTTCCAGGTGCTTCCTGAGTCTATCTGGTGGCTGAATAAATAGCATTTGACTCCACTGTTACTTCTGACGCAGGCCCGTGGTTTCTTTGTGGTTTTGGAAGAAAAGTCACCTCTGCATAGTTCAGTTCAGCTGACACCGGACTCTGTGAATCAAAGGATTTACAGTCACTCATCTCACATCGCTGAGTGTGTGAGAAAAACAAAATAAAACGTAATAAACTTCACCTCTGTCTGTTGTGGATTCTGTTCTCCAATATGAGCTGAATGAGCGAAACAAAAATATTGCTATAACACATTTTGTTAAATAGGAAGTTGTGGATTGGTCTATCAGCTAATTCAAAAAAGGATGTGGAATTAGAATAAAAATAAGTTCAGTTACCTTTCTGAAGCTTTTTGATTTTAACAGCCAGACAAATGATGACCATTACAAGGACAACAGTCAGACTGCCCAGGATCACACTCATCAGCTTTGTTATTCCATCAGACTCTTCTACAAGAAAGATCATTCGATCAGACCTCTAGTAGCTTCAGATCTGACAACCATTTCAAAATACACAAATGACAGATGCATGGCAGAAATGTTAATGTTATACAGAAAGAACTAAAAAAATAAATGATTTGATGGATCTAAAATGTTAAACTTAAGTCCAGATCAAGTGGTTCACCAAAATTAAATGTTAATCTGAAAAGCACCAGATCTTACCTTGAACCTCTAAATACGTTGCATCGACAATAAGCAGGTTTTTGGTAATGTAAAATCCACAGAAATACAGTCCAGAGTCAGATAAATCCACTTGTTTGATTTTGAGAAAGACAGTGGAGATGTTGGATCTCATTTCAAATTTTCCACTTTGAAATCCATCACAGTATTTAGCAGGGTCAGTAGACTTGTACATAGAGGAAACACAGTGAGGCTGTGTTCTTTTTACCAGTGTGAACCAGACTGTCTGAGTGGGAGAACTGGAAAAGTTGGAGCACAGCAGTGTGACATCTTCACCAGGAACTCAGTAATTGTTCCAGTAGGCATAAATTCTAAATAGAAGCACGCCTTTTTTAAAAAATCCTTATAGGAGTACAATCAGTTTTTTTGCAGCCACTTATTCAGCTGTACAATTCTACACCTTTACTGCTAGATGCCACAAAATCCTCACACTGGTCCTTTAAGTGGATTTTGATGTAATACTTATATACTTTATTTTATATATATATATATATATATATATATATATATATTACCATATTGCCCAACCCCATGTGCTGTATGTGTATCAGGCCACTTTCTTCTCTATTCTGCTCCTGTATTAATGTCACGGCTAATCTGCGTCCTGTGACTGTGACACAAAGTGCTATCTATATTTGTCTTTCCCTCCTATCAGACTCTAAAGCCTCAACGGGCACCAACTCAGCCGCTGAGGCGGCCAAGATCCTGGCAGAGAACCGCAGACTGATGCGAGAGCAGAAGGAGAAAGAGGAGCAGCTCAGGATACAGAGGGAGGAAGAGGAGAAGTGAGTTGATTGGAAATGGTCTTATTCTTATCTCACAAATATTATTCTTAATTATTAAGTATTAATTATCTTTTACCATGTTGTCATCATTATGCATATGGCAGCGATGCATCACATATTGTAATTGCAGTAAAATTGTAGTTGTTATTAAGTCAAACCAAAGAATCCATACAGTATAGACATAGATAAGAATAATGAAATTAGCCAGTAAAACACTGCAGATTATATTTTGATGAGCTAATTTTTAGACATTGAGACTAAAATACACATACTGTTAAAATTTAAATGTCTACTTTGAGAAATCACCTGTGTTTATTTGTCAGTATGGTTTCAAGCAATTTGCTCTGCTGTTTCTTAACCATTACCAGGATAAGAAAGGAGGAAGAGATGCGTTTAGCGGAAGAGGCTCGACTGAAACGCCTGGAAGAGGAGAAGAAGCTTGCAGAGGAGAGGAAAATTATAGAAGAGGAAGAGGCTCGCCTAGCAGAGGAGGATCGCGTAAGACTGGCAGAAGAGGAAGCAGTGAAACAGGCCGAACTCCAGAAGGAACGGGAGGAAGCTGAGGCCAAGGCCCTGGAGGAAGCAGAGAGAGTCCGTCAGGAGAGAGACCGTATCATGCAGAAGAACCAGCAAGAACGAATGGAGAGAAAGAAGGTAGAATAAAGGAGACCATTCTCTTTTATTTTGGTCTCGCTTTACCATCAAGAATTATATCAAATAGTGTTTTTAAAGAACTTGAGGTTTTGTGTGACCAGCAGTACTAAATCAAAAGTCAGTCACAAACAGACACAACAATTATGAAATAATCAGGCATATTAATCACCATGAATTATTAATTTCCTACACTGCTGTTTATATTTTACGTGACATTTATTTATTGGTCTTTTCATATCAAAATCTTTTCTTTCAGTCCAACATGGCAACATATTTTAAATGATTTATTCAATGTCCAATATTTTTTCAGAATGTTTCCTCCTTGTGTAGATCCCAATTGTAAACAAATTGGGTACAAAAACATGTTGTTGTTTTTTTCTATTTCAGAGAATTGAAGAGATAATGAAGAGAACAAGAAAAGGGGAACAGAATGACTTGAAGGTGAGCTCACATCCATTCAGCGCATATGTCTCAGAGTTTCTGTGGCATGCTAACATACTGTCTGTGTCTCCTGCGTAGAGAGATGAAGGTGATGATGATAAATGCTCACAGGAGAATGAAGAGGAGGGAGAGGACCAGATGACCTCAGAAGGTGAACGTTGTCATCTTCTAGCTTTCACACTGATGTGCAGGTTCAGGATATCAGAGTGTATGAAGATTTATGCATCACTGCGTCTTCCCCTCTTTGTGTTTGTTTGCATATGCTTTACATAAATGGTTTGTTTGTGTGAATTTACATAACTCTTGATGTAACCTATGACTTGTCTCTCTCTCATGTTTATGTCAATACATGTGCGGCTACTATAAGAAAAAGGAAAAAACAATACAAAACAAAATAACACTTAAATATAGAGAGAAAAATCATGAGCAAACAAAAAACATGAGAGTCTAATGCTGAGAACAGTCTACGACTTAGTAACTGAATGATTCTGAAATACTCTCATTAATAACAATTGGTGGTAACTTACGACTTGTCTCATCCAATGTTTCTCTATTGATATTGTAGGCCAGATGGATGATATGACCATGGAGGGCGACACAGATGAGTGCGGTCTGTCCTCTGGAGAACCGGTGGAACAACGTGAGGAACCTCTGGGTAGTGTGAATGGAAAACCAGAGACAGACAACAAGGAGAATAACAATGGCATAAGCACAGATGAGCCTCAGGCAGTCAGGTATGACTTGGATAGAAGATAATGAAAGACAATAATAGCGATGTTCCATTTGATGTCAGTGATCAGTATCGGCGCCAAACAACATACTGATTGGTATCGGTTATGTTAAGCTTTATTGGACCCAGCTGTTTTAGAAATCACTTTTCAAGAAAATGAAACCATATTCCAATATTTGTGACTCATTTTAAGGATTATTTTTCTTCAGTAGGAAATATTTGGTTTGGGGCTGAGTGCTACAGACTGGGTAGGAAAGTCTGAAAGTATTGAAAGCTGGATTTAACACAGTGTTGGTTTTGGCCTTGTTGAAATGTATAGAATAACACCAACCTCATTCTTTGTTGGTCTGGATCTCTCTTTCTGTCACTTTGCAGTCTCTCACTCTGGGACAAAGTTGTGTTGTGCTGTGAGAAATTAGTCTCGTCACCCCCCTTATCACTTCCCTAATCTCACCTCCCACTACCTCTTTCCTTCCTCCAGTCCAGTCCCCAAGGGCCGCCTTGTCGAGGGCTCAGAGTTCCTAAATGAGCAGGACTCGGCCAAGGTGGGGTTGGTCTCAGGTCTAAACGGTAAATCCAACCAGTGGAGCTTTGAGGAACTCATTGACCTCAACGTTCACTCCAAGACTCGGCCCCTCATCGAGGCAGAGGACTGTAACCAGGTCTTGATTAACTGTGATGGAAGCTCAGATGGGACCAGGGTAGCCTTCGAAGACAAGGGAACCCCCGTCAACACCCTGCATTCCACTAATCAACCCATAGAAGCCCTGTCAGGTGAGGAGTCCGTTACGGAGTCACCTTTTGGGAACAAGCACTTTCTGACATTATCTTCTTAGATAACTCTCTTCTTGCTTTGTCTCTGTAGAGATTTGATGCTGCAGCCGTCGCTGAGAAGCCTCTTACTGTTGCACTCATAAAGTTCCTGTCCCGCTGAGCTCTGTAAAAGAAAAAGTCCTCGACCAGTTCCCCAACAGCTTCCTCTTTTTTTTTCTCCTCTTCCTCTTCCAGAAGAGAGGAGCACAAGGTGAAGCGGAAAGACCAACCTAAGTGCTACAATTGCACCCTAAATGATGAGGAAATAAATATATTAAAATTATATATATAAAGAAAAACGTTCTGCTTCAGGGAAATTCCGTATATTCCTTCGACATGCTCGCTTCAGGTCTCTTTCCTCTTCCTCTTGTGTCTAGTTCTCCAGTTTTTTTTTTTTTTTTCTATGTTGTGTCTGAATTTGATGATGTTTTTTAAGAGTTTTGTCTTCGTCAGGGGTGCATTGTTGTAATTTATTGATTTTGGCTTCTTTGTTATTGTAATTGTTGTTATCATATGTTTAGTCTTTTTTGTCTCGTATGAGAATATTCCAGGACACATTAGGCTGTGTAATTTGAATATGAGGTTAATACCGTGAGTTAAAGGAAGGAACGATAATACATTCTGTTGTGTCGGGGGTTGGGTTGGGACAGCATCCCAGGCTTTGCATGTGATTCATCTAAATTTACTTGACTGGCTGCTTTCCGCAGCATCCAGCAAATATGGCCTTACCAGTTTTTCCCAACGTCGAAGTTTTAAGTGTGAATATATTAAATTGCTTGTGTTGAAGCTCACACACACACAGTTTAGCAATCGTCCGTCATGTGCTTACACTTTGGAGTGGATTCTGTATTCATTCTTCACAGATCTCTGGCCCTTCAACTTCCCACACACACACACACACACGCGCGCACACGCCTCTCTCCCAGTTTCTCTCACTGTGTGTTTCCTTCTTTGGCCACTAGAGGGCTTCAGGAGCACCACTCCAACTGTTACATTAGAAGCTGATGAGTGTTGAGGTTCATCAACACTGTAGTGAATTCATATGTTAAGTCAAGTTTCAGCAGTTTGATAACTTAGGGCACATGGTCCATTTAGGTTTTGTTATTTTTTACATATGTATATAGGCTTTATGTTTACTAACAACACTTAATTGTAATTTACATCAGAATCTGAGTGAGTTTCATCCAGTTTTAGTCTCATCTTACACCGACTGCATCTGTACAACACCAGTGTTTGAATAACCATAGATGTAACATACTGCTACTCAGTTAATACACAGGTGAAGTCCATTAGTTTCGTTCATAGCTGTTTCTGATTCTCTTAAGACGGTTTGTGTTCGTTACCAAATTGAACTTGAATGTTTGATATCCAGAGTTCAACTTTGCTGAAACTAAAAATCAGATTTTCAATTATCTGGTTTTAACTAGAGCTTTACCATCACATCCGTGCACACTTTTCCATCCATCCTTCTGTCTGTGGTTCTTTTATTAGTTACACTTATTTCCCACTAACCTTCTTCGAAGATTCCAAACACACTAGCTGCTACACCTGACAAAATACATTTCAACTATTTTTTATAATATAAAATTTGGCTGTTTGTTTATAAATGAAAATACATTTCTACATATATTTAAGTGTTATTGTATTGTGTATATAATCAGTATTAGGCAAATGAAGCCATGTTTAGGATGGAGTGGCGTCAGGATGTGGATAATTGAAGTCTCTGTGTACGTGACTGTGCTGTAAGTTAGGTTTCTGTTCGACTCGTGCCCTGTGACAGGGTAGTCAGGTTACGTTTGGGCAGCCTGGAAACCCAAAATTTACATAAATCCCTCTTCCACAAAAGCTCTGAAAAACAAGGGGCCAAGTGGGGACCCACTATATGTGTCTAAAAATACAGTGTGTTTATTTGTATGTATGTTTGAGAGCTTTCAGCCCCATAACCCCTAGCCGTACTTCTGAATATTGCCTCACAGAGACTTAACATGTTGACATTGTGGTAGTGAGCGGAGTTGTTACAGCCCTTACCAACATGTCTGACCCATGATAAAAGTCATGGCTGTGCCTCTTTATGATGCTTTTAATGTCATCAAAATATGTTTTATATTATGTCAAAGGATGTGGGGGTATTGGATAATTATGGTAGGCATATCAGCTCAGGTCGCAACTGTTATTACTACTTTGTAGTATGAGGCACCAAACTAAATAAGACATGGGTCAGACTTGTTTTCCGCATTGCTTTCTGGATCTCTCATGAATTGTATTTAAAATCTTGAAATTCCCTATGCTTGAATAATCTAAGCACAAGGTTTGGGGACCTTGATTTTTGCCTTGTTGTCTGCTGGCTCTCACATCCTCTTGCAAATTAAATTCTCTTTGTACATAAAGACTTGGGGCTTTAGATGTTAGCTTTGATTACTAAGCTCAAAGAATGTAACAGACTCCAGAAACCGTCCTTCATTATTTACCATGTCTCAGAGCTGCCCGCTTTTAGCGTTCATCCATTATTCATCTAGAAAACATGAGACTCTTTGCACTGTCACAAATTACTCGCTATGTTTAAAGCATGGTTGCTAAGGAGTAGCTTTACTGTACAGACTCGTAGGAGAGTTGTGTGAAATTCAGGAAGAAAAGAAAAGCTCATTTGTCTGTGGTCTCTTCCTTCCCAGATGTTTTAGAAGTCTCATTCATAACCCAAAACTCGCCTATACCCAAACTCCCCCCAAACCTTTCCTGCTCCTCTCTCCACTCGTGAGTAGTACCTGTTGGGGGGCTGTTGTAGCTGCTGCTTGAACAGATACTGTATCTATTCCAGGTCCTGCTGCATCTTTGAGGGCTTGAGCCGACTGCTTAATCCTCAACGTCTATAACAATAGGATAGAACGGTGCCTTAGATTGAGATTTAGTATTTTTATTGTATCACAATTAACTAAGAAAGCTTGTCCTTACCTCGGCCTCGACAATCAGTCTACCCAACCAGGGCAACTTTGTGAATATGAATATTTCTCTGGAAGATTTACAAACCTAACAACGCCCTGTCCACAAATAAAATTTGTACTGTAAATATATCTAAAGTGTACTGAGATGATACGAACTGTTAAAACAATAAAGTCTTGAAAAAATACTCCCACCTCCGTGTTGTTTTCTTGCTGTAAAGAAATATACGAGACTTCAGATCACGTCCTCCTTTTTATTCTGGTTTACATTCAACTTCAAGTCTTGAATACATGAGCAGTTTATATTTCAGCATCAAGGCCTAATTTGAATTTAAAATTCACTCGCTAAACGTGTTTAGAATATTCTGATAATCCATTCAGACCATCAGATTATTAATCAAAGCTGGTATGTATGAGCAGCAGTATGCATGTAAAAAGCATATTCTCTCTGAAAGACTCCAGTAAGGCACTGAAAAGGCTTTTTTTTATCTTAAAGCTACACAGAATCATGGATTAGATTAGACTAATAGTGCATATCACAATCCCACAAAAGAAAAATCTGTTGCCATGTTAGTATCCAACGCAGAAACAAGTTGCAATAATGTATGTGTAGATAAATGATTCAAGCTAATGCGTATTTAGTTGAAATAACTTGAGTCTGTCAACTGCATAAAGAGATGTTTCACCAAAATCAACTGTCTTCACATTATATACCAATTCAGTCATATTCTGTTACTATCTCACACTCTAGTCAAATTTTATGAGAAAAATATATTTTGGTGTAATACCCCTTTAAACTGTGATCTTCTGCACAGCTGATTGTGCTGTTCACAGCTTCTTAGCACAGTCAGGGCAGTAGATGTGTTCTCCGTTGATGACAAAGCGCTTGTTGGCCAGCGAGAGGGAGCACTTCTTGCAGTTGAAGCAATACTCGTGCCAGGAGTATCCCTCGTAGTTCACCACGTTGGTGCCATGGCCGAACCCTGCGGAGACAGGACATCGGTCAGTCAGCCGCGCAAGACAGGTAATGGTTCTTTTAGATAACAGACGAAAAACCTCTTTAAAACTTTTCTCTCATTTGTCTGAACATTAAGCACAGATGGGTCATAAATTAGAAAAATATGCAGATATAAAACCTGACATTAAGGCCATTATTTGAGATTTTATTGGCCTATTTAAACAAGGAAGTGATTTCCATTTTGTGTATAAAGAAAAGCTCAGTTTAATCCTAAATGAGAATCCATCTATTAGTCATTTATTATTGCAATCTTCCTGTTTCTGTATGTTAAATTGTATGCTTGCCTGAAGACAAATTTCACATGTGTGCATGTTCAGTAGCCTAAAAAAAAGCTCATTTAAAAAAATGTAGTGGAATTATTTGGAAATTATTCTGAATTGGGGAAGTTATTCAAATAAAGTCTTATTAAAAGATTTACTTTTTCTGCCATCGGACACTGAAACTGTTTGATGATATATCACCTGTGGTAGTTGCAGCTCATCATCCAAAATATATCTTATGGCTGCACTGCAGTATGGTCTATTGAGTCATCCGTTTGAGGCCATTACAATTGTGCAGGAAACATCCAGAAGAAGAACGGAAACATCCAGAAGAAGAACAGAAACTACAAAACTGTCCTAACTGTTAATTCCTATTAATCACACCATGCATTCTGTGTACATTCAAGACATTCCTGGTATATGTTTGCAACAGAAATCGTTCTAACAAGAACATTTCTTTACTCTGCTCTGACCTGTGATTGGGTTCTTGCAGCCATGGCACTTCTTGGCCACATCAGTCTTGAAGCAGTCCACGCAGTAAACATTGTTCTCATGGGAAGTGAAGCGAGCTCCCGCCAGAGGTTTATGGCAGGTGTGGCACTTGAAACACTCAGAGTGCCAGGGCTGGTCCTGGTAGCTGATCCCTCCAGAGGTGATGGGCTTAGAGGGGCAAAGAAACACTTTGATTATGATCCTAAACACTACAGGACTTGTACCAGTATGACACTATGCTGTAGGTGATACATAAGCTCTTCCGGACTAGCAAACAGCTGAAGTACAACCACAGAACATACACAGCGTTACCATTCAGTGCTTGTACCTGCTTGCAGTGGAAGCATTTCTTGGCAAACTTCTTATCATGGCAGGGAGCGCAGTAGATGTCATCACCTTTGGTCAGGAAGCTCTGTGTGCGGATTGGCTGCTTGCATTCAAAGCAGGTGAAGCATTCCTCATGCCACACCTTGTTCTTGTACTCCACGTTCTGGGATCCTGAAACAGAAACATGAAATAAAACCAACCATTTGGGTGGAAAATTCACGGAAATGTTTCCCCCATAAGCAGAGTTTTAAAATAATTTTATTTAACACTGTCTGAAATGATCATGTGTTTTGTAACAGCTTGTTCCACTGCTTTATGATTTTCATACTGAGTATTAAAAACCAAGATCCAGTGTTTTTAGTGGTTGCTCCTTTTCATCAAATAGAAATATTCCATGTTTGTTTGGCGTATATTTTTGTTACAAAATAGAATTCGATATGTTTGGTATCTTTGGAAACGTTGGTATCTCTGCAAGAATTTAAAATCTCCCTTTGTGCTTTGAAGGAGAGGGTAAAGCAGAGGCGTTGCAATCTACAATTATACTGCAAGATGCCACTAAATCCGACACAATGGTCCTTTAATACAAATTGTTTCCAGGAATGTCACCACAGACACCAAGTTCATAAAACTGGGATCAACCAGGAATGAAAGCTTAAGGGCTGTAACTTTAAACGTTATAAAACACTATTACGTATTATTTAAGAAAATCCTGCTCCAAAACTCTAATCTGCTTCATCAGGGCTGTGTGGGTGTGTTGTGATCAGATTTAAATGACAGTGTTTGGCAACATAAGCAAAAAAGCCCTCAAATGCAATGCTAAATCTTGAAATATGTGTCATCAGATTTTTCCAAATGAGCCCCAGCCACTTCAGACCATGAGGAAGAGCACAGATAAAAACACAAATATAGAAATGTCTCAAATAAAAAAAAAAAAAAATTGTTCTAACTTAGGCAGAAAATTGTATGTTCATGTAGTACCATATCACTTAAAGTAGAAAACCAATGAAGATTCTCACTATAATAGCAAACCCACCTGGCATGACCACCTTGTAGCAGCCCTGGCAGCGGTTGCCATCCTCCCGGGAGCCACACTTGCCACACATTATCTTGCCATCATCCCGGGCGCTGAACGGCTCAGCAGCCAGTGGCTTGTAGCACTTGGCACAGCGGAAACAGTCCTCATGCCAGTAGCGGTTCTTATGGTGAAGCTCCTGAACACAGAGGGGAGGCGCTGGGTGAGCAGAGGTGCCCTCACTAATGTCCTCATGCAGACCTCATTAAGTGGAGTTTGTTTACTCATCATGTGGACTGAGGCTCGGGGCCAGAATACAGAACAAGCCCATGTGGCAGACATTAAAGTGGAGATGAAGTGAACTGGGATGTGGTGAGCCATGAAGGAGTTAGGGGGGACTTAGATGGCGGAAATGCGATATAAAGTATTTAAGCCCCACTAGTAGTAACGACACATCTTTTTCACACATTTAACTGACTGTGACTGAGTGGTGAGAGTATTTTTGGAGCAGAGGCCTCTGCTAGATGACAGACAAGTTGTATAACAGCTTGAGACTGAGAGCTTTCTGAACAGATAAGAGACGACTGGAGCAAACACACACACACACACACACACACATATACACATAAATGTATGTTAGTTTAATGTGACTTCAAAGTATTTGATCTAATTTTGTCCTTAGAAATCCAAAGAAACAACAACAACAAAAAAGAAAAATTGAGCTACTTTTATCATGATTTCTAACAAAAGGTCAGGTTAATTGTTTTTTTTGACATGACACTGCTGTCCAATGAAAACCATGTATCTCGAAATTTGTTGATTTGTTCCTTTATGGGTTATTTCTCCTGTTACCTTTAACTAAATGGACAAATAAAAAAAACATTTGTCTGGCAAAAAAAGCTGTGGTCATTTGTGTGTTTATTTTGATGCTTCGGCCACCCCACCTTTACTAATTAATCCTTAAACCACACATTGGGGGTGAATCTAGAGAAACATTCATGGGGTGGCCAGAGGATGGCATGGAGACTTTAAGGGATGGCAGAAATATATGCTGCATGAATCACAAACAATTACATATTAATATTTGTTTGGAAAAGGCCCAAAATGATGACATTTTAACTTAAAACACAACATTATTGTGGAAGAATAGAAATATCAGCATTACAAATCAACAAAACATTTGTCCAAATACCTTTTATAGTCTAATATTCTTTTTTATTAACCCTATGACTGAGTCTAAAATGTGTCCATAACATATCATTAAATTAACATTTTTAAAATTAATCTAAATTAACGTGTTAAATTTGACTGCATTTTACACTACGCTTGGGTTGCTCCCCTAGATCCGCCCTTTGACACACTAACACTGCGTTCTCACCTTGGAGTCGGCACCAATGGGGCGTTTGCACTCTGCACAGGTGTTGGCGCAGAGCTTATCGAAGCACTTGGTGCACACATGCTTCTCTTCCTTCTTCACATATTTCTTCCCATGCAGGTTGTCGCGGCAGTAGTAGCAGTCGAAGCGATCAGTCATGGTGGAGGTGAGATAACTCCTAGGACCTGAAGGAAAGAAACACAAGAGCCTGTCAGACAGTGGACCTGCAGAGCTTCTATCCTCCCTACATGGCTGGATGTTTCCATTAGACACCAGAGGGGGACAGTGTTGCCTTTTCTAACATCCCTTTGGTCGAAGCTTGCAGGTCCCATTCAGCAATGATGAATACAGTTGATTAAAGGTGCTTCGCAGCTCAGAGAAAAAAAAAAGAAAAGTCTGAAGTTCAAGCATTTAATAAGAATACAATAAGAATTTAACGCCTGGAGTTTGGGGGAAAGCACAATGATCCCCACGGCAGTTATTGTGAATGTGACCTCTGTACTTTAAGAAAAACAAAAGTATGCATAGAAATTGCACAGTAGATTTTAAATGTTTTCCCTTTAATATCAGTATCATTAGTAAGGCACAGTGAGATGCAGCTCTTAAAAGCAGCATACCGATCTGATGAGAGAAGTGTGAGTGCAGTTAAAAAAAAGAAAAAAGCAGCCCACAGATGTCTGCTTGTTGTCTGTGTGCTTTCTGGCCTCCAGACTTTTTATCAAGCTCTCCCTGGAAAGCTTAGGTCATATTTTTAGACCGTCTGACTCATTCCCGTCACCAGCCACCTGAAAGACCTCCAACCACCCCCCCCCCCAAACCGGCTCACACTCTCTCTTTTGTCTGTATTTTGGGGGGGTCATTTTATTGGCTGTTAATGTAAACACTGTAAACTAAGCTGCCTTGCTTCTTCATTCATCAACATTCCTGCGTTCCCATCACAGGCGGTGTCCGCTGGGAGCAGCCTTGAGTAGATTCCTGAAACAACTGTTGTGAAGGGTGGGGTGTGTGGACGTAATATGCTTTATCTGCATCAATCTAAAGCCTCTCTCTCTCTCACACAGGATGTCGGGGAGAGCAGCTGAACAGTGGGTGAACTTTAGCAGTGATTTATCCAGTGCAACAGATTCAGATCATTTTAATCCCGTCAGGAGCAATGGAGGAAACAATGGGAGGAATGGCATTTTGTCCAAGTAACCATAGGAACAAGGAAAATATTTATGAAAGGAGACTGCAGCTATTTAAGTGGGATGTGGTAAACAGCCGTGTGAAAGAGATGAGCTTCCCGGGGTGTGGTATGCGCCCCTGGTGTGTGTGGCTGGGTAGATGGAAGCGGGTTTGGAAGAAATCTGTGCTGCAGGGAAAAAGACTGGACTGAGCCCTGACACGCCCCACTCCGCCTAAGCTCACCTCTGTTTAGCATTTCATGGAGATAAAACAGGAAAAACACACCCAGTCAAACCTGTCAAATCACACACACACACAATGCTCGGGTCTCATTACTGAGCCCATCCATCCCAGAGGTCTATTTTAGATATGCACTCTCTATTTAAAGCACATTGACCTTCCAGAGGGGACAAACGGAGAGGGATGCGGAGTGATGACCAATGGGACTATATGCAGTTATTGTGGCACCAGTTGAGACGTGTCCAGTACTTTAATCTTTTGTTACAAACAGTATGACAGCTGCCCCCCATCAAAAAGGCATGGTATGTATCGACACTCTGCGGAGGGATTGGAGGATACCACCGTGGTCCCTTTGGGGAGCAAGAAAGGTCAACCTGAGACCAGTTTGAGAGGTGAGTCAGAGCGGTGTGAGATTAAAGACAGAGTGACCCCAATGTATATCAGCGAAATCAACACTGGCAAAAGTCTCTTGGATAATGGCAGCGTGTTCTCTAGAAAATAGGCCTCCTACAAATTCAGGTCATTTTAACATAATCACGTCTTGCTATCATGGCACAAGAAATACGCAGAATTAAACAAAAATAAAGAACAATGTAAACCCTGAAACAGGCTGTTCTCTAGCCTTTCTACAATAAGCTTCAAGAAATGAAGAATGGAAGAGAGTTCCAAATATTAGACCACAGGTTTCTACTAAGATGATCGTATAACTACAGATGCTCCGTTCATTTGTCATTCATTTGGCAGCAGAAACAGGTTAAAATCATCCATCCCAGTCAAAATGACTCATACTGAGCATGAGTAAAAACGCTGTTAGGCCTAATACATTTTCGGGCCCTCATTGTTCATTGTAATGAACGTTATCTGCACTTTGACATATTGTGGTTTAGTTTTTATCCTATAAAAAGTCTAAATCTGTATCAGTGCATCAGGATAGCACAGTACAATAGAATTAAATCTCCCCTAGATTTTTGACTTGGACATTCAAGCATTGTAGCCATTAATTTTGCAGGGAGAGGTTGTTTAAACATCAACAAAACATTAGCAAAAGCTCAAAAAGGTGCATGGACATTTGCATGTAAATTATGTTGATATATATTGTTGCTGTCTTGTGAAAAAATTTCAAATTTGGTTTGGATTGTTTTAATAGATAAACCGAAGGATTAAATGTTACTGAGAAGATTCTCCAACTTCTCAATTAAATAAAGCATTTAAATGTATTGGATTATCTCAAGTGCATTGTCATAAAGCTGAAAACAGGCCTGTTTATCTAAATGTATCCTTTCAGAGTGCCTTAAAGCAATATTATGTTGAAATCATTTTTACAAATCAAATTTTACAAATTCACTTCTTGAGTTTTGAATGGAGCCATGTCAATTAGCAGGCAGGTTTTAAATTTGTATCTGATTACTGGTAACACATTCAATAAAGTATTTAGCATCCTGTGTTGGATCATCTTTTTTCATAATTTTACCTGAGTGTTTGTAGAAAGTCATGTTTGGTTCCGGGACGAAAAGAAGAAGGAGAAAAGAAAGACAATGCAGGGACGGGAGGAGACAGTAGCATCCACAGAGGGTCAAACCCAGAGACCATATGCCTCATTACATTATGGGGGGCTGTATATACCCCTCTGTGACCCACACACCCACGACCCCACGTCCAAATCCAACCTTCGGCCCTCCAGTCCTTTTTAGGGTATGCATTAGAGAATAGAGTGGATGAGAGAGAGTATGATGCAGAGGGGATAGATTAGGTGATAGAGATTGGATTCCACTGCTGTAACATCAGAAGGTAAAAAAAAGACAGAGGGTTTTAAATGATGGCCATTGGGGATACGGGATACTCCCACTGCCCTGACATAAAATGTTTTGTTAGAGAGTTCAAAACATTTACAGATGTCATGTTGGATCACTTAACATTATAACTCAAAGGGATGACTCACAGGACGAGCAAGTTCATATAATTGACAGAGCTGAGGAGAGACAAAGTGTGGAGTGTTATATAACTGTCTTCTTATATTTCCATGACTATGTGTACATATATATATATACTGTATGTAACATTCTCCACAAGAAAATGTGGTATATGTTGAAGACTAAACTGGAAGGTGAACTAGAGTAGAATATTTTAGAGTGAGAGGGAAAAAAGTGACTGTCCGCGATTAATTTTTCTTTCTGTTATCTCAGTGATTCTTATTCCAAAACAGAATATTTCCTTTAAAGCTCCAGGAAACACCCATGAACACATCATGAATCCTCTTACCAAAAATTAATGCTGTGACAGTAAGAAAATGTTTGTTTAAAATGGATTATTAAAATTATTGGAGTATATGACATGAGGATGTCATATACTCCAATAATTTTAAATCCATGTGGTTCTCAAACCCTTCAGTTTGGAGTCAACCAACGCCCCAAAATTCGACTCAACCATTTGCTATAAGTCGGTGCACTTATCCTATATTCGTTTAACCAATTCTGGTCATTTTCGGCCTAACTTTTAGCCCCCAATGAAAAAGGACAAATAATAATTTTCATATTCCAATACTGTTTATATATGTGTAAGTTTCGTGGCCACCGTAGTGTTCATAGTATAGTACATTGGAGGACAAGTCGACAAATTCGCAGAATTTTGAAAAAGCCATAACCTCTCGATTTGTGCAATACTTGCTAACATATCTAACTTGCGTAGAATGCCACTGAAATCCTAACTGATCACTATCCCCTTTAAATAATGACACTAGTCCTTTTCTATAAATTGATGATCGAAGTTTACGGTTTAGCGCGAGAGAACCATCCATGACCATCATCCTAATCAGTATTAGAACATGGAACATCCTGTACAGTGAAGTCTTTTTCATCGTAGCAGTGGACTTAAATGTGCGTCCTCGTAGCTCAAAGTAATTGTGCACACTTATTATCCATGCGGGTGAGTTGGAGTATTGCGGACCAAATGTAGAGAGTCAGAGGTACCGGAAGCTCTTTCAAATACAGAAACTATTCAAACGCTACAGGATATCTTTTAGAGTTGGGAATGGAGAGAGGAGACTTGAAATGCCTCACGATAGAGACGTGGCTTAAGATTCGTTAAGAAGCGAAATGAATTAAGGTAGCTTTAGTCACCTCGTGGATAAACTCCAACTAACCCTCGAGCTACTGAGACAAAACCACTTTATCACTTGCGCCCTCTTAAAAGGACTCTTTCTCTGTTCCCTTGACTTATATTCAAAAAAACTTCCTTCATAATACTCCAAACATAAAAACACGAATCAAAAATGCAGTTAACTTTGCCTGTTTGTGGTAAGTGTATGTGTTAAAGCACAGTGTGTGTATCTTGGTGAATGTAAAGGGGGCAAGCGAAATGGTCTGTACTAATAAGTTAAATGACATGAAAAATTTGGATGTTAGAGGATCCCATTTCATCACAGAAGGATCTCACCGCATTAGCGATTATTGTCCTTTCTGTATAAGTTACAATATTGCTAACAACACGGAGTTGGCTAATTACTCCCAAACCCCGACTCAAAAGACCTAATTGTAACCAATGAGCACGGAAAGGCGGCGCACTGAACTTCTCCCGGAGCTTTGCAAAAAGACACCTATCTCCTCAGCGTTACATGAGTCAGAATCTGTTCTTGCGTCCCTCCAAGATATGTTCGTACACACACTTCGACGTTGGTGTGAACATTAGAGTGTGTGTCCATCTTTTGGTCGAGAGAGGAGATTTCACTTTATTCACTCTCCACTATTCCATGATCCATTTCTCTCTGGTGGTATTCATTTCTGGTTCGAAACGATTGCATGTAGTTTAAGTTGGTGTTGTGGGATCCATGAAAGGAGATGGCTAGTTGAGCAAATGAGCAATAGATGATGAGGATAGGCGTGGGGATAAGCGTGGTAGGTCCAATATCATTGGGCCTGTGCTACTGTAGACTATGAGTGGTGAGCGAGAGAGTGACAGGAAAAATAAACTGGTAGAAACCAGGTCATTATATAGGACTCAAGTAGGTTAGTTAGCAGATAAGCAACTTCAGGTCACATCAAACCGCTAAGCTACAGAGTGTTGTGTGGCCATATGGAAGGAGGCGAGCGAGAGTATAGGAATGTAGAGCAATTCAACGGGTTTGAAACAACTCAACAGATGGTATTTGCTTTTTGAGACACATATTAATTTTCAACACATTGCTCGAGTGTACATGAGTGACAAAAAATAGATAAAAGAGCAATCGCTGCGCCATTAAAAACAAGTAATATGCTCAAACAAAAACACTTTTTCAACTGAAACAAACAAAAAACTGCTGTTACCAATCAAAACAAACTAGCAGTTTTATGGTCATTTCCTATTTGCAAGAAACGTCTATCTTCTTGGTTTATACCATCATCTCTCAATGCTGCCATCAACTGCCATTCATATGCTATCTGACAAACCAAAAAGCCAATGAATGGAAAAAAAAATAGCCAAAATGTTCACTCAGAAATACTTGAATCCTTATTACATGGCTTTTGCGTTCCAGCATTCTAACTACGGTCTCATAATTTCTAGATAACAAGCCACACTGCTGACTCAGTTTCTGACCATAGGCTTCTGAAGGACCACAGTGAGGCATGTTACAATCATTTTTACACATCTGAGAAACTCATTTAAAATGATGATTATATATATATTCTTTCGCAAGTAATCACAGGATAAGTACAGGGAGAAAAGGGTCATTTTGTACAATATCCCTTAAGTGTTTTCGCCAGACTTCCACTGTACACTAACCATTTGCTTCAAAGGTTGTTTAAATTATGTTTTTTTAAGCCAGCAGGGCCCATGTTTGTTTACCCAGCAACTAATATAAAGTGCATTCTGGTTTGACCACTGATCTGCCTGCATATTAACCGGTCTCATCTGGATGTCGGTATACCTCTACCCAGTGACCTGCTGGAATGCAGTGTCCAACTCCCCCACCTGCCAGCTCCCAAACCTCGCTTTTAATAGAGCAGAAATAACTTCATCTGGAACAATAAACAAACTATAAATATAATTTTTTTTTCCAAATAAAGAATCCTGGATAAACACGTACGCAGCGAAATGTGAATAATTTCGATGTTTATATTTGAGAAAAACTTAGCGGTAAAAGCTTTAATTGCCTTGCAACTAATGGAAACAGACAAATTAATATGCCATACAGACAATGCAATATCATTAATTATTTTTTGGGTAGTTGTGTGCTGGCCATAACTAGTCTAAACCTCTTTGAGAGGTAGATTTGGCATCACTGCCGTCAACCCAGAACAGGAAATCCTGACCTGTACTTCCTGATACAAATGAGAGGAAATCGCATCAAATGTGACCTGACAACAAGCATCTCTTCACCTGTTACCTAACAGCAACAAAAAGCCTTGTCTATGTGTCCGAGAGCTCATTTCTCAACATGAATCTCGCCCTGGACATCCTAAAGTGTCTCAGTAACAATTCCCTCAAATTGGTTTATGGGCAGACAGACAGTGACAGACTGAGCCAACACTATCTCCTGTCAGGGGACCTCAGTGACTCACCATGTGTACAACACACACACCAAAAACACACACACACACACACACACACAACACCACACACACACACAACACACAGTCTCAAGACAACAGGACAGACTTGCACACTCTTATTAGTTCTACACACAAGCTTGTATAAACAAACCACAGACATAAGGTCAGTGAGTGAGAAATCAGGGTGTGGCTGCAAAGTCCCAGACACATCGAGTCAAATATGGTGGAACAAAAGGCCACGGGGCGGAGCTCTATCGAAACAGTCAACACTCCTGTCCAAAGTGATATATATGGCTTGGAGTGTTGCTAGCACACACATGCACACACATTTACACACACCTTTAAGATAAAGCCCTTCCACTGTAGGCCAGCACTTCAGCTCTCACTTGTCTCATGACTCCAAAGCCTCTCCCAAAGCATAGAAAAGTCCCTTGTGCTTGTTAGTGAGGAGCAAAATATTTTGTGTACCCCGACTATGGAATTCAGTTAAAAGAGGCACATAAAACATCACAAAACTTAAATTCTTTATGGAACAGCACATTATAATTTCTGGTGACCAATGTAAGTTTTTCCTTGCACAATTTAAATACTCAGGGAGTCAACCATGATACCCAAGTGGGGCGCGACAGGAAATTAATCCTAATTAATGGCCACACTTTTGAAATAACATACCTTTTAATGCCTTTGAGCTGGGGAGGAGGTATCAAGTATTTCAAAATCAAAAAGGCCTAAGTCCAAGTCGAAGTCACCGAGTCATTGGTGTTAAAGTCCAAGTCAACTTGCATGTCTGTTTTAATTTTGTCCCAAGTTGAGTCAAAAAAAAAAAAAAAAAAAAAAAAAAAAAAAAAAAAAAAAAAAATCTAAAGTCCATCAAATTGTGACTCGAGTATAAACTTGAGTCCCAAGTCCTGTGCACTTGTCTCCACCACTTCTTCCAATAAACTCTGAAATGGGACCAC